CCTCCTCCTCCTCCTCCTCCTCCTCCTCCTCCTCCTCCTCCTCCTCCTCCTCCTCCTCGCCTTCCTCCCTCCGTCCCCCGCTGGTGGGATGGAGGCCCGGACGACTCCCGACGACTCCTGGCGAGGGGGGTGGAGACGAGATCGATGGGCGGCGCGCCCTCGGAGGTGGCGCGGGGTTGTCCGGGGGGCCTCGTCATGGTCCTCCTGGCCTCTTGGAGTGAAAACGCCCAGGGGCACACACAGAAGTAGACACACATCCCAGGGTTCCCCAGACTTGCTTGTCTTTTCTGGACGTTCGTCTCCCCCTCCGCTTACCACAGTTTCCCTCTGTTCCTGGGGATCGACGATTAATTGTGCTTGTGTGCTTTGTCTCCCTGCTGATAGAGGCCTTCCTGGAATCCCCTGTGGCCTTCGAAGAAGGCCCCTGCCCTAATAGAGGCCCCCTGCTGTCGCGGACGGCCGCTCTCCTCGCGCCACTCCCTTGCCCGCCGCCCGCCAGACTAAGCGAGGCCTCACAAAGAGCCTGGGGGGGCCTCGTCGAAGCCATCCTGGCCTCTTGGAGGTCTTCATGGGATCCCCTGCCGCCCGCCAGATCGAGCGAGGCCTCCCCACGGGAAGGGGCAGGGCAGGGGTGGGGGGGGCGGAGGGGGCGACGGACAGAAGCCGCGCACGTCAGAGGTGCGTCGACAATCTAGCGAATCGGAGATGACTGGGTGAAGCCACGAGCGTGCTAAGCAGCATAGGAGGAGGAGGAGGAGGAGGAGGAGGAGGAGGAGGAGGAGGAGGAGGAGGAGGAGGAGGAGGAGGAGGTGAAAGAGGAGGAAAGAGGAGGAGGGTGAAAGAGGAGGAGGAGGAGGAGGAGGAGGAGGAGGAGGAGGAGGAGGAGGAGTGAGAGGATAGGAGGAGGAGGAGGAGAAGGAAGAGGCGGAGGAGGAGGAGGACGAGGAGGAGGAGGAGGAGGAGGAGGAGGAGGTAGTAGACGATGAGAAGAAGAGGAGGAGGAGGATGAGGCGGAGGGGGAGGGGGAGGAGGAGGAGGAGGAGGAGGAGGAGGAGGAGGAGGAGGAGGAGGTGGAAGAGGGGTGAGGAGGAGGAGCAGCAGAGGAGGAGGAAGAGGAGGAGGAGGAGGAGGAGAAGGAGGAGGAGGAGAAGGAGGAGAAGGAGGAGGAGGAGGAGGAGGAGGACGGCAACGGCCATGAAGGTACCACCACATTATTAGAACATGCAAGCACGGAGGAGGAAAAAAAGCAAACACATTAGGTGTGAAAGTCCTCCTCGGGGGGCGGCACAGGCTGCCGTCTGCGCTCCAGCGCACGAAACCCGAGGGACTCAACCGCCTCCCGGGAGCTGAACCCGACGAGCGAGGAGGAGTTGGAGGAGGAGGAGGAGGAGGAGGAGGAGGAGGAAGAAGAGAGAGAGAAGGAAGAGGAGGAGGAGGTGGAAGAGGGGGAGGAGGAGGAGGAGGAGGAGGAGAGGGAGGAGAGGAGGAGGAGGAGGAGGAGGAGGTGGAAGAGGAGGATGAGGAGGAGGAGGAGGAGGAGGAGGAAGAGCAGGAGGAAGAAGAGGAGGAGGAAGAGGAGGAGGAGGAGGAGGCGGAGGCGGAGGGGGAGGAGGGGGAGGAGGGCCCTTGCGTGGGAGCGACAGGGATGAGCCATTCGTAAGGGGAGGCCCTACCATCACGCCCAGGGGCGCGAAGGGGATGAGTTGTTTATATGGAAAGGATGGAGGAGGAGCAGGGAGAGGAGGGGGCGGGAAAGCTGGAATGGCTGCAGCACCCGCCTCCTTCGCTCCACCTCGCCCTTCGGCTCCAGCAGCCTGCTCAGCTCCGGCGGGCGGGCGGGCGGGCATTCGCCCCCCTTCCTGCTTGGCACCGTACCTCATGCATGCGCTTGGACGCCTCTGCTCGCTCTTGCTGGGCGGCCTGGTGGGCGCGGCGAGCGGTGGGCGTGATGCTGGGCTCGACCTGGGCCTGAGCTCCCACGGGCCAGATGAGTGCCCAGGCTGGTGAACAAAAAAGCAGCACAAACATGATTCCTCGGAGCTCCGCGCGAATATCTCTCGGATCGGCGCTTGGCACCCCTGGCGTCGCCTCCAGCACCGCCCCTGGCGCGCACGGCGCGCCAGGGAGGGGATACCCCAGCGCCGCACCAAAAAATCCGCACGGAGCTCCGAGGAAGCAGGCTTGTGCCGCTTCTTGCCTTGGCATCGTTCGGGCGCGTGTCTTTTCTCTCGGCGAGGACCATCGAGGAGCACCCGGGATCATCTGGCCAGACATGCACGTTCGAAGCCGAAGAATGCACGGGGAATGGGCGTCCGAGCGACGGCAGGTTCCCAGACCCCCGACGTCGTGATTTTTTCACAGTGTCGACCCCCATGGGGTCTGGAACCCTTCCCTGGGACCGACTTTCCATCCTGAGTTGTTTGACGGTCCCGAGGCCCGGCGAGGGCCCCCAAGGGCCAAAAATAGAAAAGCCTCCCGTCCGGATTTTTTCACAACGCGAGGGCCCCCAAAGGGCCGACAATAGCGAGAAACCTCCCGTCGTGATTTTGTCACAGCGCGAGGAGGTCCGGGTTCTGCGCCTCCGCCAGGGTGCGCCGGGCCCCGGGGGCCCGCCTTGTGGGAGAGCCTGCTGCAGACCGCCGTGGGCGTGGCGCGCGGCGCGCCCCCGCCGCGGGGCGGTCAGCTCGGCGCGAGGCACCAGCAGGCCCCGGCCAGACGCAGAGGGGGGCAGGGTCAGGGGCAACGATAGGGGGAGCAGGCCCTCCTCCCCCTCCTCCTCCTCCTCCTCCTCCTCCTCTTCCTCCTCCGCCTTCTCCCTCCTCCTCCTCCTCCTTCTCCTCCTCCCTCCTCCTCCACCTCCTCCTTCTCCTCCTCCTCCTTCTCCTCCTCCTCTCCTCCTCTGCCTCCTTCGCCTCCTCCTCCTCCTCTTCTCCTCCTCCTCCTCCTCCTTCCTCCCTTCTCCCTCTTCCTCTTCCCCCCTCCTCCCTCCTCCTCCTCATCCTCCTCCCCCCTCCCTCCCTCCCTCCCCCCTCCTCCTCCCTCCCTCCCTCCCTCCTCCTCCTCCTCCTCCTTCTCCTCCTCCTCGGTAGTAGCATAGAGGGGGACGCATCGACCCCCAATCGTCCATAGATTGCCGATAGGGGCCCGATAGTCCCAACCTGCCCAAGAACGTGCCGATTCAAGATCGGGCTCTTATCGCCGATCTATCGTCAATGTATCGCCGATGTCAGGTCGATGTGTCCCCCCCTACGCCAGTCCCCCCCTATCGTTGCCCTTCACAGGGGGAGGTTGGGAGGCTTCCTAGAAGCACCCCTGCTTCTTCGAAGCCGCAGGCCTTGTCTGTAGATGCAGGGCGGGCGGCTTCTAGAAGAAGCAGCCTCCTGAGGAGCCTTCCCCCCCTCCCGCTATGTAGTCCCTTTGTGCGCGCCGCCATAAAGGTCCTGGTCAACAGCGGCGACATCGGCTACGTGGGGAAGGTCACGGTGGCGAACCAGACGCTGTGGGGGAGATCTCGAGGGGAGAAACATTGGGAGAAACGAGCGGAGAATGGCCCAAGCCCCCAAACCGTTGGGCGATGATGATGATGATGATGATGATGATGATGATGATGATGATGATGATGATGATGATGGTGATGATGATGATCATGATGATCATGATGATCATGATGATCATGATGATCATGATGGTGATGTTGTTGATGCTGATGATGGTGATGATGTTGATGATGGTGATGGAGATAATGGTGATAATGGTGATAATGGTGATGATGATGCTGATGATGATGATGATGATGATGATGAGGATGAGGATGAGGATGGTGATGATGAGGATGAGGATGAGGATGAGGATGAGGATGAGGATGAGGATGAGGATGAGGATGAGGATGAGGATGAGGATGAGGATGAGGATGATGATGATGATGATGATGATGATGATGATGATGATGATGATGATGATGATGATGATGATGATGATGATGATGATGATGATGATGATGATGCGCTGGCCGTCGCCGATTCGCGTGGAGGATCCACGATTCGAAGGTGATCAAGATGGACGGTGACCAAGATCGGCACTGAGATCTCCACCTCCAGATTATGTCCACATCCGCCGCTCCGGAGTCGTTCCCCAGGATCTTCAAGGGTGGTGCCATATGGGCGACGCAGAAAAACGGGGTCGTCTGCGCCGACACTCGTGCGTAAGCTGCCTGCGTAAGGTCGCGCGTAAGCGCCCTCGTCTCCAATGTAGCATGCCGCGGTGGCGGCCCGCGCAAGTCACCGCGTAAGGTCGCTTTCTCTTCGTCGTTCATGTGGATGTCTGCCCGCCCGCACGGGAGGGCAAATGTACCCCTGCGCCCACCGCTCCCCATGTAGTCTCTGGGGCACGACCCTGCGGCGGTGGACGTGGACATGGCGCGCTCCAGAAGGGGCCTTGCCTCCGAGGATCGGAAGAGTTGGCATCACTTCCTCGGTGGAAGGCGGCGGAAGGCGGCGAAAGTAAAACGAGGCCGCCTCTGGCGGAAGCCAGCGGAAGGCCCGCGGAAGCTGGCGAAAGTAAGACATATGAGCCCCCAAGAGATGGCAACCTTTTAGGGTGTAGGGTTTCTGGGGCCCCCACATATTGCGAAGGCCTTACGGCCAGTGCCGCCGACACTGAATGGCGACGACGACGACGACGACGACCACATATTCTTCGGCCACGCGCAGAGGGGGGCAGGGGGAGGGGGGAAGGCTTCTTGGAAGTAGGCTGCTTCTGAGAAGGTGCGGGCCCTGTCTGCGGATGTAAGGCCCGCGCCTTCTTAGAAGCAGCCCCCCTTCAAAGAACCCTTCCTTCCTCCCCCAAGAAGCCTCCTTCTAAGAAGCCGCCCCCTTCTTAGAAGCAGCCCCGTTCTTAGAAGCAGCCCCATTCTTAGAAGCAGCCCCCTTCCAATAAGCCTTCTAAGCAGCACCCTTCTAAGAAGCCCTCTGCGCGCCGCCACATGCTGGCGGCGCAGGATCATGGACACGGGCTCGTTCGACCTCGTCGGCTTCCGGAAGCGCGACTGCAGGGGCTGCGGGCCTGCGGCGTCTGTGCTGCTGTGCTCGGCGCCGTCGTGCACGGTCGGCGGGGGGGAGGAGAAGTGCCTGGAGTACGGCAGCGGCACGACGTGCGGCGACAGGAGACCGTTTACTTGGCTCCTGGCGATGACGGGCGTGACCAGGGGGGGGGGGATGGCGCCGCTCACGTCACGATTCGCGCCGGCGCCGACTGGGAATGCGTAGGAGTGGCTCATTCCCAGAGGGCTCCCGCTCGAACCGGCGCCAGTCACGGGCGTCCCTGAGATCCGACCTTGCAACAAAATTGCAGCATCGCAAAAAATCACGCCCAGACCCCCGGACCCCATCTTTTTGCGCCATTTCCGAGCAGGATCGATCTGTGAGGGTCCCGGGGCCCGAAATCGAGGGGAAGCGCCCGTTGCGAAAAAATTGCGACGCCAGGATCTCAGGGGCTCTCGCGAATCATAAAGACTGGGCTCCAGGGCGGCCGCGGACGTGTCCATCGGGCCCCTGACCAGCTCAGGCCGAGGGAGGAGAACTGCCGCAGAGGCAGACACGCTCCAAGCTGCGCGCGGGTTTCTCTTGGATCTGCGCCTTCGCCCCTCTGGCGGCATCTCCGGTGCCGCCCCTGGCGCGCGCGGGCCCAGGGAGTCCGCACGCAACTCCGAGGACTTGCGGTTTTTGCTTAAGTCGGGCCTGTACCTCTACAGGAGGAATATTCCCAAATAGTCAAAGATAGTCTGGGGACGATCTATTGATCATTTTTGAAAAAAAATGCAGCATTTTCAGGGTATGTTTAATCTTTCGTCCAAAATCCGCCTGTAGGGGGACATGCCCGACCTAACTCTGGCGGCATCTCCGGCGCCGCCCCTGACGCGCGCGCTGGCCCAAGGAGTCCGCACGGAGCTCCGAGGACTCGTGGTCGTGCTGGTCTTCTGCCCTTCCCTCAGGGCAGCGGTTCCTGCTGGGCCACAGCGCAAACATGCCGGTGATGAGCACGGCGAGGTTCCAGGCCATCGTCGGCCTCGGCGTCCCTCAAAAAGGGGAGCTGCTTCCCGGGCTGGGCGCGCGGTACTTCTCCGTGTGCCTCCCATCGGTGGACGACGGGAAGATCGTCTGGAACGACGACGCCCCCGGCAGCGGGTTCGCTCACTTGCATGTCGTCGCGTCGCGCTTCTGGGGCGTCAAGATGACGGGGGCTCATCTGAAAGGTCGATGATCCTCAGAACGTGTGTTAGTTCCCAGTGTGTGTGTGTGTGTGTGTGTGTGTGTGTGTGTGTGTGTGTGTGTGTGTGTCTGTGTGTGTGTGTCTGTGTGTGTGTGTCTGTGTGTGTGTGTGTTTGCCCCGTGCAGTTCCGCCGATACCACGCAGCCTGTGCCAGCCCTCAAAACACCGCCTACGTCGTACTGAAAGGCCCCGGTGGACAAGCACATCTTGGCGCGAACACTCGTTCTGAGGACCCTCGAAAAGGGCCCCGCGGCTCGCGCAATGTGGGGTGCAGCCCGAGCTGCGGGGCGATCCTGGACACGGGCACCTCGCTGATCGGCGTGCCCTCATCCACATTTCGGCTCATGAGCCGGGGCATGGCCGAGCTGGGGGAGTCCTGCGACAAGGCCTCGAATGAGAAAAGAAATGCTGATAAGTATCTACTCTTGGAGCTCCGCGCGGATTTCTTGGATCTGCGCTAGGGCCCCCCTGGCGGCGCCTCCGGCGCCGCTCCTGGCGCGCTCCGCGCGCCAGAGAGGGGTGGTGGTGATGGTCAGCGCGGATCCAAGGATTCCGCGCGGAGTTCCGAAAGTTCATCGACGAGCGAACAGCGGGTGCGTGTTGTCGGACGGGGGTCCCCGCTTGAAAGGGAGCGTCCCCAGGAGTCCGACAACCGGCATCCATACCCATGGCCAGTCCTCGTCCCAACGACCCTTTTATGGGTATTGGTGTGTGTATGTGTTCGTTCGTTCGTCACTTACGTCTATGCCCGCTTTTTTTTTCCTCTCAAGATCGACACCTTGCCCAGCCTCCACTTCAGGCTCGGCGGCGAGGACTTCGTCCTGCCGCCCACGGCCTTCGTGGGCTACTTCACTCAGAAGACCATCCCCTGGCTCCCCAGCTGGCTGCCGCAGCCGGTGCTGCTGCGCTGTGAGCTCCTGATGGTCGACATGGGCGAGTTGCAGACAAGCCTCGGCTCTCTCTCTCTCTCTCTCGCTCTCAAGCAGTGTCGAGGCGCCCTGGCTTGCCTATAGGCCCACCAACACATGTTCTAATAACTTATTAGTTGCACGAAAAATCTTAGAACATTTCTGGCTGAGAGCGTCTTGTTTTAACACATCGGGCGTATGTTATAATAACATGTTTGGTTCTAGGCCGGTAATGCCCAGACGGTCGGTCCCTGCTCAATTCTCTCTCTCTCTCTCTCTCTTTTGTTGTCCTCTCTCTCTCTCTTGGTGTTCTCTCTCTACTAAGAAGAAGAAAATTAATAAGAAGAAGAGGAATATAAACATTGCATAAGCATAGATTTCCTGGATCTGCGCTGGGCCACCCTGGCGCGCTCCGCGCGCCAGAGAGCCCAGAGGCGATCCAAGAAATCCGCCCGTAGCTCCGAAAGTTTCTGCTCATACTGTGTCGCCTTCTTCTTCTTCTTCTTCTTCTTCTTCTTCTTCTTCTTCTTCTTCTTATTTTTCGTCTTCGTCGTCTTTGTCTTCCTCTTCGTCTTCCAGGCTCCGCGTGGATCCTCGGCATGCCCTTCTTCCGCCACTACTACACCACCTTCGACCTCGGCGCCCGCGGCGGGACGGACGTGAACCGCATGATGGTCCACACCGCGCCCACGGGGGGGTCCTGCGTGCCCGGCGACGTCGCCAGGCACGGGGGCCACGGGGGAGGGGGGGGGATGGGCTCGCTCGGGGAGGGGACGCGTCGGCCCCGATCGCCCACTGATCAGGAGGGAAAAAGCACACAGGCACAAGGAATCGTCGATCCGATCTCCAAGAAAATGCAGGAAAATATGGGAAGTGGGGGGGAAGACAAAAGCCCCGAAAATATGGCAAACTATTGGGAGTCCTGGTGTTTGTGTCTACTAATTTGTATGTCCCGGGGCCCCTTCAACTGATCGCGGGGGGGGGGGGGCCCGACGGGCCCACCCCGCCCTGGATGTAAGCCGGGCGCGTCCCTCTACAGGAGGAAGGTTCCAAAATTATAAAAAAGGCAGGGGACGATTTGTTGAGCTTTTTTTGATGATCGGTGGGCCATATTTTATGTGTTGTCCAGAATCCCCCTGGATGGGGGAGAGGCCCCCGACCTAGCCCTGGATCGTGCGGCTTCGCTCTCGGGGGCCTACAGGCAGGCCGCGCAGGAAGGGATGGGCAGCCTTCCCAAGGGAGTACCCTCCTTGCCCCTCGGGCCCAGCCCTAGCGACGTTCGCTGGCCAACCTCGCTCGATCGAACGGCGTTGACGTGGGCCTCCAGGGCCCTTTTGCATGCTTACCGCGCGTCGTCAGGATACGGGTTGACTGCGTCGCCGATCTGTCGGCGGTGCGTCGCCGATTCCAGGCCGAGATTACACCCCCTGAGCCGATCCGGGTGTTGCCAGAGAAGCTCAGGAGGGGAAAAACCACACAGACACAATTCATCGTCGATCCCCAGGAAGTTGTGGGAGAATACGGGAAGTGGCGGGAAAGACAAAAACCCAGAAGATATGCGAAACTGTGGGACATCCTGTTATTTGTCCGTATTTATTTGTGTGTCCCAGGGGGCCCCTTCGGAAGCGCCCCTGGCCCCAGGGGCGCCCGCGGGATCTCCGGGGAGGCCCTCCCGCGGCTCCCCGAGGGAGGGGACCCACCCCCCCGCGGCTCCCGGAGGGCCCGGCGGTGCTCGCAAGAAGGGCGCGGGAAAAGCCAGGGGTGCCCTGGGCCAGGGGCACCTGTCTAGCAACAGAGGAGGAGGAGGAGGAGGAGGAGGAGGAGGAGGAGGAGGAGGAAGAGGAGGAGGAGGAGGAAGAGGAGGAGGAGGAGGTGGAGGAGGAGGAGGAGGAGGAGGAGGAGGAGGAGGTGAAAGAGAACCAGTGTAAGCCCAAGGGTCATCCACGATGTTGGAATAAGCCCTCCCTCCTCCTCGCCAGGGAGAGGGAGCAGCGCCTGATGACTGTGGACCCGCACAAGCTGCGGATGCCCAGGTGGGTGGCGGGGGCCGCGGCCCGCCCAGGCCTCCAGGGAAGAGAAAGCACCACGCCAGCAGGCGTTCCAGAGGGGGCCTGGCCCTCGAGGGTCGCAGGAGTCGGCATCACTTCCTCGGGCGGAAGGCGGCGGACCCTGAGATCCTGGCGCTGCAATGTTTTCACAACGGGCGTTTCCCCTCGACTTCGGGCCCCCGGGACCCTCACAGATCCATCCTGCTCGGATAATGACGCAGAAAGATGGGGTCTGGGGGTCCGGGCGTGATTTTTTGCGATGCTGCATTTTTTTGCAACGTCGGATCTCAGGGGAAGGCGGCGGAAGTGAGGCGAGGCCACCTCCGCCTGCGGAAAAGCCGGCGGAAGGCGGGCCGAAGGCGGCGGAAGTAAGACATATGCGCCCCCAATAGGTGACAGCATTTTGGGGGTTGAGGGTTTTCAGGATCGGCCGCATGAGCGACAAAAGACATCGGGCCGACTGCGCCGACGTTCGCACGTAAGCTGCCCACCTAGGGTCGCGCGTGAGCGCCCTCGTTTCCTCGGTAGCGCGTCTCGCTGGCGGCCCGCGCAAGCCGCCGCATAGAGTCGGTATGGCACCGTGCGTAAGACCCGCTTCTCTTCGCCGCTCACGCGAGCAAAGTGTCCCTGAGCTCCGCACTGGCTCTTTGGATTGGCGCCGGGATTCCCCTGGCGGCGCCTCCGGCGCCGCCCCCAGCGCGCTCCGCGCGCCAGGGAGGGGGGGTCCAGCGCCGACCCAAGAAGTCCGCGCGGAGCTCCAAGAGCTTCTGTTCGTCCAGTTTTCCTCCTCCTCCTCCTCCTCCTCCTCCAGTTCCTCCTCCAGTCCTCTGCGCGGCCGCCCTAGTCCTTGGCCCCCCTCTTGCACACGCCGGTCGATTCGCCATTCGGTCGCCCCGAATCACTACCCGCTGGAGCAGCTTCTCTGCCTCGCCGCCGACGGGAAAACTTTGTGCCGTTCTCTCTTCTCCTTCAGGCGCGGGCAACTCCACGGAGCTGCTGTTCTGAGGGGCCCCCGCTGCCGCGCGCCCGCGTTCGCAAGGGCTGGGGGGCGTTCTCTGCTGTCTTGCTCTTCCATGCAGGCAAGACTGAAAGCAAGGATGGTCGATTTTCAAAGGGTACCCCTTGCATTCTTGCCTCTTCGGTCATCTTCGGTCCATCCTCAATCCGTTTCGATGGCCAGCCCCGCTCGAAAAGATTCTGCATGGGCGTTCAAGGGCCTTGTATCCAGATTTCTGCATCCTTGACACCCGAGCGACGCAAACAACCGGGGTCAACGACGCCGACATTGGCGCGTAAGCTGCCCGCGTAAGGTCGCTCAGAAGCGCCCTCGTCTCCAGGGTCGCGTTCCGCGCTGGCGGCCTGCGTGAGCCACCGCGCAAGGTCACCGTGCTATCTCGCGTAAGGCCCGCTTCTCTTGCGTCGCTCGCCATCATTTCCTCCCTTTTAATGCTGGAGGCCCCTGCGGGTGCCCAATCGCTGCACCCGCGCAGGTGCCTCCACGCGGGGCTGCCGCGTGCTGAGCGCCCCACGACTTCCGCCGTCCGAATTCCAAGCGGCCTTCTGGAAAGCGGCGCGGGCAACGCCCCAGAGGATCAAACGCCTCCAGGCCATGGAGGTCTGGCCGTCCACTGTGGAGGCCCTCGTCCCCCAGGTTCTCTCCCCGTCCACAACGGAGGCTCGACTTTCGAGATGGACTCTTTTCGACCCTCTGCGGCCCACTGAGCTGTTGTTCTGAAGGCTCCGCGCTGCCGCGCGAGCGAGGGAAGGAAGGGGGGAGGGGAGGGCTCGCTCGCCCAGGCGCCTGGCGGGCCAGCTGGGACTGAAGGAGGAGGAGGAGGAGGCGGAGGAGGAGGAGGAGGAGGAGGAGGAGGCGGCGGCGGAGGAGGGGGAGGAGGGGGAGGGGGAGGGGGAGAGGGAGGGGGAGGGGGAGGGAGTGAGTCATGAGGGGGAGGAGGAGGAGGAGGAGGAGGAGGAGGAGGAGGAGGAGGAGGAGAACCAGTGGAAACCTATGAACGATGTTGGAATAAACCCTCCCTCCAAGCTCCCTCTTATAGGCCCCCACAGCGGTTCATTTCCACCGAGGGAAATGCCTCGTTGGAAGACATCCGTTGGAAGACCCTGTAGCATGCCAAAACAATGTTCTCGGGATTCCAACGCCACGGATCAACCGGACTGTTGCGTCTTGACGATCTTGAACCGTGCCAGGATACCACTCTTGAGACTTCAGCGCAGCGAATCAACGTAACTGTTGCGCTGTCATAATCCTGAATCCTTCCCAACACACGATTCTTGGTATGCTGACCATGGGAATCCGTGAAAGTCTTGCAAATGTTGAAAACTAATGTGCGCGGAGCTAAGGTGCGAGCCACATTTTGAATAGGAACCGCCCTTAATCCTTGAATCTGCGCGGCGCTAAGGCGAGAGCCACATTTTGAAAACCACCCGCCCTCAGACCGTGAAACTATTGCACATGGTTAAAAACGAATGTGCGCGGCGCTCAGGCGAGAGCCACATTGTGAAAACCACCCGCCCTCCATGTGTGAAATTGTTGTCATGTTTCAAGCTTCAGGGTCATACATTGTATGGAATTCTCAGACGAAACGCCCGGCCCGCCCTAAAAGCTGGCCTCGGGGTGTGACAGGGAGACGTTATTTATAAGGAGAAGGAAAGGAGGAGGAGGAGGAGAGCAGAGGGAGCATGAGGAGGCGGAGTAGGAGGAGAAGCAGAAGGAGCAGGAAGAGAGAGGCGACGACGACGACGACGACGACGACGACGACGACGACGACGACGACGACGCAGGCCGCGAACGGTGGCGGTCGTCGGCGGGCGCCACCCGCCGCGCGCGGGGGGGGGCGGAGGTACGAGCTGGTGGACTCGTGAGGCCGCGGCCAGGGGCGGCGGCTCAGGGGGGCGGCACCTCCCCCGCGCGGGGTCTGCCCGGTGTTGGGCGGGAGGAGGGAGGAGGGAGGCGAGACGAGAGGAGCCCATGGAATCCGCAGCTGTCAGACGGAGCATCAGCGCGGCACGGGATTCTGGGGACGGGTAGCTTCGACCCTCAAGGAATCGTTGAAAGTACAAATCGGTTGCTCCCACTGCTCATGTGAGGCACTGGCCTGCCGACACCTCTGAGGCACGCAACCTCTGCTGAGGGGCGGCTCGAACGGCACGGGAGACAGCTCAAGTAAGCACTTTATCTCTTACTGCTGGCTCTCGCTTGTCGGTGCTCGTCCCTTCCAACGCCCCCGACTCGCCGCCCTCCCCCTCCCTCGGCCAGAGCCTCTACGAGGCAGCACTACTGTCGGAATACTTGGTAATTCACTCTGTGCATATGACGATGGCAAACTCCGCTCCCCTGCTAACGCTCTAGCTGCTACCTCCTCAGGAATCAAGCCGCACTCAATCAAGGAAGCCAATCTCTCACTCTGCTGCCACATCATTTACCGTTCACTGCTGACGATATCTCTCGCTCCAGTGGGCCCCTCGGCGCGCTGCCGTGAAGCCTCCCCCCCCACTCTATCTCCAAGATCCTCAGAAAGAGATCCTGGCCCTGCTTGCCGACCGGGCTCTCCACGTCGAAGTGCATGATCGCGAGGCAGCGCTGGTCGGTGTCGTCCTTCTTCAGCAGCTTGAGGCACACGTACTTCACCGCTGCTCTGAGAGTCAGGATGTTGCTGGAAGACACCGCACTGGTCCAATACTCCTCCGCGTCCGCCGTCAGCTGCTTCTCCTTCTCGGCCTGGTCCCCCTCGGCGGCGTGCGCGTCGCGATGCAGTGAATCCCCGCCACGAAGATGTGCAGATGCGGAGGCCCGCGACCTCGATGTGCTCCGCGCCCGATCTGCTCGCCTGCCCTCGCGCGGTCCGCCAGCTCCTTGCTCCTGACGGCCTGCTGCTCGCCTGCTGCCACGAGCGATGCCGGGCAGCCCTGCACCGCGCTCATCTCGGACGTGATGAACACCGCCGCCGCGAGGTCTGCCATGCCGCGCGTGGTCGCCAAGAGGAGCCGAGCCACCAGCAAGAGCAATTTGCCGTAGTTCTTCTCGTTGCCCTTGCCTCCCTCGGCCTTCGCCACCTCGGATGCCTGGCCTCCTTCTGCTGCCTCTGGCCTCCTCGCTTGAGCTGGACTGAACCACGACGGCATCGCTAGCTCGGGCATGGCTCCCAGCACCGGCAGGAATCGAGCCCTCGGGAGGAGGAGGCCCTGGTCGATAAGGCTGTAGCTTCCACGGTAAATGTGAGCTCAAATGGCAACAGAGTGTATCCAAATCAGCAGTTTTGTGGTCACACACTGGACAATCAGAAGTCTGGGAAGAAACCAATGCCTTCAACGACGTGGGGCCCCTCGTAGAACAACTGCTTCTGAGAACGGACCCAAGAAGATGGCGAGCTGCGGTCACACTCGTTGGAAATATTTGCCTACAGTGTATACACTATTGCATGGTGTGAGAACGGGTGAAGGTTTCGTACATGATGATGATGTGCACGCATGTGGTTTAACAGAGCTTTGTGATCATGACATGCTGCATTGCGTACGTTGCCGTTATCATCTACGATCTTGCACCTGTAGTTGCCCTCCTCCCCCGTCCCCTTTATCCTCCACCTCGTCCTCCACCTGAGTAGTTGCTGTAGACATACGTACCCCAGGAGGAGGAAGGCTGACCCCGAACTCCCTGGCCCTGAGCTCCGTGAAGTCGATGTTTACAAAGCCCTCGGCGGCCTCAGGGTCTGACAAAATCTTCAAAACTGCAAGAAGCTCACCAATCGCATCGTAGTTCAAACGCTCTGAAGCGAACTCCAGGTCCTGAACGAGTTGTTTCACCCACGGGAAAGCCGAGGCCGTCGGAACTCCCTCCTGCAGCTGAGGCTCATATCCAAGCCTCTCCTCAATCGCGAGCGTGCCGAACAGTGCGCAGAGGGGCTGAGCATGCCAGGCAGGACGTAAGGCCCACGACTGGTAAACCTTCAGACGGCGAATGATGAATTCGATGTTGCAACCTGTCAGACGCCAGTAACGCAGGACCTGCAAGTTGTTGAGAGAGCGCACAGTGCCATCGTCTCGCTGGTTGGTGGCAGCACCTCTCATAGCTATTCGACAAAGAGCGGCCAAACACCGATCCAAGCTGTCATAATCGCTTTGCTGGAGGACAAACGGTTCGAGTCCATTAATTAGAGTATTGAACACATGACCCTGCAATAATGTACGGCGCCACTTGTAGGATAAGGCTAGAGACCACACCCCACCCAATCGATAAAAAGCCTTTCGTGGCATCTAGCAGCATCTAGAAACCTCGTGATGTGCTGTGTCCCGAGGCTTCTGAAAAGGCCCAAGATATCGAACACAATCGGGAATCGTTACCTGGATCGTTGAACTGCTTGCCCTGAGTGTGCGACGTGCGTGATAATCGTGATGTGCGAAATGGAATAGCATCTCCTGCTTGCTAATTTTTTGCCCGTACCCGTATGGTTCTAGAACCTCATCTAGAAGACCATCCACCCTCCCAAGTTTGTCTAGAAGATGGCGTAGCGTACTGCCCTGATCAGCTAATATCATCTTCTGAAGGTAGTCTGCATACCTTGTTAAACTCAAGTCGGCCCTAAGGCCGGCCCGGCACGAGACGAGATCACGTGATCTCTCATCGGCATGCAAGAGTGAGTAGCTCCAACCTGGTACTGCTCTCGAGAAGGTGCCCATGAAGCCCTGGACTGTAAAAGGGTCTCCCATGGGACCTCCACACCGCGGTCGCACGAAGGGGCCCCTCTTGTGCGTTGAGCTCGATAATGGCCGAGCGGTTGCGCTGACGACAAAGTTCTTGGTCGTGCTCGGCTGCCGCTAGAGAAACTATCTGATCCAATTCAGACCAGGTCGAACTTGCAAATGCATTGCTCATGTCTTTAAACGTGTTGCAATATGTAATCCCCATTCTTCTAGCTTTCTATCCTGTAGTTAACGGTTCACGTAGTTCGTACAGCACTTTCTCGACGTCGATGTTTTACAAGCCCATGATC